ACCATTAACTCTATCTATGCCCCTCATGGTTTTATAAACTTCTATAAGGTCACCTCTCAACCTCCTAGACTCCAGTGAAAGAAGTCCCAGCCTTTCTTTATAACTCAAACCCCCACCCATATCTGCCAACATCCTGATAAATCTTTTCTGAACCATCCCTAGCTTAATAATATCCTTCCTAGAGCAGGGTGACTAGAACAGCACACAGTATTCCAGAAGAGGCCTCACCAACATCCTGTAACATCTCATTTCCCAGCACCTGGCCCATAGCCTTGGCATTGCAAGAGCACTTCTAAATACTTCTTCAACGTGGTGGAGGGTTCCTGCCTCTCCCACCCTTATAGGCAATGAGTTCCAGATTCCCACCACCCTCTGGGTGAAAATGTTTTTTCTCACATCCCCTCTATACCTCCTGCCCCCTCACCTTAAATCTATGCCCCTGGTCATTGATCCCTCCAACAAGGGGAAATGATCCTTCCTGTCTACACTGTCTGTGTCTCTCAGTGATGTTCTCTCTCAATCTCCTCTACTCAAAGGAAAACAACCCGAGTCTGTCCAATCTGTCTTCATCACTGAAACTCTCCAGCCCAGGAAACATCCTGGTAAATCTCCCTCTCGAGTGCTATCACATCCTCCCAATGTGGATTCCAGAGTTGCATTCTGTACTCTACTGTGGCCTAACCAACATTTTATACAGTTCCAGCATTACCTGTGCCTCAGCTATAAAAGTTAAACATCCCATATGCTTCTTAACCATTGTATCCACTTGTCCTGATACCTTAACAGATCAGTGTACACAAGGTCCCTCTGAGCTTCGTGCTTCCCAGGATCCAACCGTTCATCATGTATCCCCCCCTTGCCTTGTTTGTCCTGCCCAAGTGCATCACCTTGCTTTTATCCAGATTGAATTCCAATTGCCTTTGATCAGTCCATCTGTCCATATCTTCCTGTCATAAGACTACCCTCCTCAATATTTACCACCCACCAATTTTTACATCATCTACAAACTTACTGAGCAACCCTCCTAATTCAGGTCAAAATCATTGACATGAACAGCAAAGCCCCAACATTGACTCTGCAGAACCATCCCCCCACGACCAAAAGCCTTCTGAAGATCCAACTACACCACACCCACTGGTTCCCCTTTATTTCCCCTGCTGGTAATATTCTCTAAAAACACTAACAGGTTTGTCAAATATGATAAAAACCGAAGGAACTGCAGATGCTGTAAACCAGGAACAAAAACAAAGTTGCTGGAAAAGCTCATCAGGTCTGGCAGCATCTGTGAAGGAGAAAACAGAGTTAACGTTTCGGGTCCGGTGACCC